AGCCATCACAGCTAGACTTTACATACAGATTTTGCTGTTTTCATTTTGTCAATTATTAAAAAGTATCCTGCATTTGTCTTTCTATTTGAAAAAGATTTGATTAATTTAATTAAAATATTTTTTTGTTGCTATTACTACAATGCATTGCAGTTTTTCCTATAAGATTCACAGCTCACATTTTCTGCACAATCTCTGGGAGCTCTTCATTTTCTAATTTCAGTCACAAATTAAAGCACTCTTCTTGTCCTCCTTTGGCACAATTGACATTTCCCTATCCGATCTTTTAACACTTTACATGCCCCCTGTACATGCTGCGTTTTTGAAGCTAGATACTAATATTTTTTTTTTCAAAGAAATGCTCAGGTGTGCCTTTGCCATTTTTCTGCACATATGACCTCCTACATGCAAAGTTTTTTCTCAAATCAGACTTACTCATCCAGTTTCTTGAATGCCTTGTTCCTCTGAATAACATGGTTGAAGCCTGGGAAATGCATCCAGCTTTTGCAATTATGTTCAATGGTATATGATTAAGCTCCCATCTTTGGGAAAAAAGTGAAGAACTGTTTGTTCTGAATTTCTTCTATTTTTTATTATTATTTGAGACATGTATTACCTTTTATAAAAATTAGTCTGGTGTCAGAGTTTAAAAACAAGGATTTTGTTGGCACAATACCATTGTAAAGGTAGGGCAATCACCAGATAGCTTAACATTCTTGTTTGAGTGATGATAGTTGTTTCGGCACAACGTAAAATTTTTCTGTAACTTTAGACAGGACTGAATTCAACTTTTTTTTTCCTTTTGGCTCTCAAACACCTGCTATAAAACTAGTTCTAAAAGGGAAGAAGAAATAAAAAAAAATCTTAAAGCTAAATTATTTTTGTTTTCAATTATCTGGATTATTCTAAGATGGCTCAGGGGAATGCTGTGAATTTTGTAAATGATGAAAACAAAGCAATATTTCGCTTGGTGTGTTTGATTTAAGTGGTGTGTTTTGCATAGTGTCTGAATTGAGAGAAATTTTCCAGTGTTTTTAAACTGGTTTTTATGCATATAAGATGGAACAAACAGTACAACCATCTACGCTTCAAAGGTTTTTCTTTTTTTCATGTTCTTTTTACCAATTCAAAGCCATGCTAGCTAATGGATTACCTCATTCTCCAAAAGAAGCTGTTCAGTCACTCTGTGGTTGTATAATTCTCTTTCATCTTCAGAGAGAATAGATGCAATGATTAAATAAGGAACTTGCTGATATCCATCCCTGCTGTTGCCGTGTGACTTAGCATGTGCATCACTTGCATTAGAAACAAAAAAAAAAAAAAAAAAAAAAACAACGTGGGCTTTGCAGTTGGACCACTTTCACTTCACTGTATGCCAAGTACATTATTTTCAAGTATGTAAAGTGATGAATGTTGACGTCTCACCATTTTTTCCTAGAGATATTCACGGTATTTATCTCAAAGTAACCATAGCCTGTGATTACTTTTGACTGTTTTTGTCTGTTTACACCAGTGAAAATATAGGAGCAAATTTGAGCTATGTGATGTAAATGTTACTTTAGTAGTCAGATTTTGCAGTAATAATGTAACACAATTTTCTCCAGTCATATGCATTGCTTTTGGACATTATCATTATTATATTTTCTTTTATGCAAAACACAGTRCACACTGTAGGTCTCTCAAGAATGTGTTTGCAGCCAGTTTTCCATGGCAGCATTTAGATCCATTGTTTTGTTAAATCCCACGGGGGAGAAGGTAAGGATTAATTTGTTGCATCTGCCAGACCCACGCTGGCAATGTTGATAGTGTCTATACCAGTGTGAAGCTTCCCACATCCATGTCCTCTRTTGTAACCGCTGAGACCCTTTTGTTTCCCCAACATAATGACTCTTTTAACTGGATTGACGCATTTCTTCTGTATCATTGTTGTACGCTTTTGGCTTTGTAATCAGACTGCCCCCTCTGAATGTGAGGTTCAGGTACAACTTTGATTTCTCAGTCTCTTTTGGACCTCTTTTGGCCTGCAGCCTCCTGGAGTTCCCACTGGTTGTGATCCAGGTCCATAGTTCATGATGTTGGGTGCATTGATTTGACATCTGAGTGTGAGATTCTGTTTGTGTAAACAAATCATGGATCTTTAAGGCAATGTGGCAAACAGTCGCCACAGACCATACAGGAGTCACAGGCCTACTTTCTTTCTTCAGACTCCAGATATTTATTTCTAATGTTGATCTCTAAATATATTTGTTAACTTGTCTACAGTTCAGTATGTACTGGTACTTACATGGTACATAATGGGTAATGTACCACATACAGTATATACTGTAGCAAGCAATATTTTGTACTGCTACCAAAAAAAAGTAACTTTGATAAAAGCAGACAAGAAAGCACAACACACGGTATTTATTTATCAAAAGTGAAAGCGTTGTCTTACAACAGCCCTAGTCAGTTTATTCTAAATTAAATATCAGCTATGTAATGGCATTCTCATGTAAACAAAATTATATGACAGGCTGCAAACACCAATACTGAGCTCAAGCTAAAATTAAATTTTATTGTTGTTCAACTGATCATTCTCCAAAAGATGCAAGGAAAATTTGTTTATTTACACTAACTTTAAATGAAATGAGAAGTTATGCAGTGATTTAATAGACACAAACATGGTAGTTGTGCGTAGTCAAACCTTTTTTTTCAGTCATAAGCCAATAATATTAATATTGTTTTACTCAGAAGCCAGCTGAATGAAAATCTACAGTGTGCTTTGGAATTTTAAGCATGGCCCAGAAATTGTCTGTAAGATAAAAAAATAATAATAAAAAATAAAAAAACACACACACACTCCAGCGATAGATGAAATCTTACCTTTTCTGTAGATTGTGAAGTGCCGAAGAAGATTGGGATAAACGCTAGCCAAATAATGCAGGTTGTGTACATCGTGAAACCAATAGGCTTGGCCTCGTTGAAGGTTTCAGGCACGCCTCTAGTTTTGATGGCATAAACGGTACAAGTGACCATGAGCAGCATGCTATAGCCCAGCAAGCAGATGAGAGACAAGTCCGAGATGTCACACTTGAGCACGCCACGAGCCAGCACAGGGTTAGATGTTCTCTGGTCCTCGTAGTCGATAATGGCCTTGGAGGGATCCATGCCAAACCATATGCACACCCCGAGCAGCTGCACTGAAGCCAGGGTGAAGGTGATGACAAGCTGGGAAGCTGGGGAAATGAACCTGGGAGCACTCACAGACATGGTGCCCTGCTCGAAGATGCGGTAAATACGATTGGTTTTGGTGAGCAGAGCAGCGTAACTGATGCTCATCCCGAGACCCAAGAAGATTCTGCGGAGGGAGCAGATTCCTACATCAGGGGCAGAAATCATCAAGAATGTTGTGGCGTAGCAGAGAAAAATCCCAGTCAGCAGCACATAGCTTAACTCCCTCCCTGATGCCTTCACAATCGGTGTGTCGTTGTAGCGGATGAACGTGACGACCACAAACAACGTGGCTATGATGCCAGAGACCGCGATAAGCACAGGGATGACTGCCCAGGGGGAGCTCCACTCCAGCTTAACAATGGGGATTGGAACGCAGCCTGTGTGATTCTCGTTGGGCCGCAAATCAAAGCGACACATTTTACATGTGTAGGTGTCAGCCTGATACTGATAGCCATCACAGCGCTCGCAGTGCCAACAACAAGGAATGCCTTTCACAACCTTCTTGCGCTCGCCTGCCTGACAGGGTTGGCTGCAGATTGAGGAAGGGATCTGGCGGACGCCRCCCGGCCACTGCATGGAGCGCACCTACGGAGACAGAGCAACACAGACAGAAGTGCTTAAATGCACTGAGGGGAATAAAAACCATGAAGAGATTTTTACTGTAGTGCAGAAGGTCGAATCTGTCCTGTAAAATGGAGGCATGTGAAGGTTGTCAAGTTTTATTGATTCAGAAAGATCCTCGGGTCCTTGAAGTTCAAGGAGATTCTAGAAGGCAGTCATTTAATGTTAGGTGTGTGACCCGTGGATGAAGTACTTGGTTTTATGTGTTTATTTTATTGGTAGAGTATGCATCATTTCAACAATCTTCTTGGATTTTCCTAAATATTCCAGTAAAACCTTTAAATAACTGAAGGACAAAACATTAAAAGAAAAAAATGAAACTTGCTGTTTGCTCTGCATGGAATTGAGGGCACCAAATCTTTCATTTAGTGGATTTGATTTAAAAAAGAGGTATCAAAAAAGCAATCAGTTAGAAGAATAAAAAGATAAATTTTATTTCAAGATAATACCTTCCAATGTGGTTTTCTTCTTTCGCAAGAATCCTTACAAAGACCAGTAAWGTCCCTCATTTCAAACAGTTCTACCTCTTTACTGTTATCAATTTTATTCAATTGTGGCTGTTAATTCAAAGCTGGCAAATTTATCCTTAAATGTGCATTTAATTAAGAACTCAAAGAGCACTAATTAAATACTGCCTGCTTTAGAGTCAGAGCTGGCATGTTGCACAGCAGGTACTGACTACAAACCTCTTTATTCTCTTCCACAGCACATGTTAAAGTGGTGAGTAAGAAAAAACAAACTCTGAAGCTGCTGATCAGTTGCACTCTTGTCTGCTCAAGGCCACTTCTTCATTTTGTGAAAGCATATTTTGTTTTCATTGCTTCGTGTAATTCACTTTTATTTTATCGCCGTGCCTTTCCACAGTATTGTTTTTTTGGAAGTCAGTGATGCCCTCTGAAGAAATTTTAATAAATATGTCTGTCCTTAAACTCCCGTGGCTCCTTGTTTATCTCAATGTGGCCTGTTAAATCATTTAAAGCACCCTCTGGTTATTTACACCTTTGAAGATGGAACTAAGCGCCATTTAATGGTTTGGGAGGAATTCTAATTTACTGCTGCAGAGCTTAAAAATATATTGGAAACATTCACACACAAACATAATTAGTGTTGAGCAAAAAGAGAAAGTCCAGGGCTTACATTCAGATGGAGTTGATCCGTCCAGTGGCCAATGATTTTATATTCAGCCGTTCTGTTTCTAATCTGGTACTGGTAGATCTCATAGCGGCCAGGAGCATCTCCGTTTTCATTGAATAGCACAGGGTTCCCAGCTATTCCTAAATGAGAGAATAAACATGCTAATTTATTTCACATAACTCAATTTGTTATTTGAAAGCATAAATTACAAACTGTGTTGTCATTGTCTCAGTGGCGGATCAAGGATTTTTCAGTGTAAGGGGCCATCAAGGGGCCACAATAACCATAGAGGGGCCAAGCATTTTTTTCAACATCCTTGCACACAAACCCCCAGTTTTTGTAAGGTTTATACATTTAATCGGTCACATGTGTTCAAACACTTGTAAAAGCTTGCACAGTAATTTCTCCTATCAATTTTACATGATTTTTTTTTTACTATACATGAATAAAATACTCTTAAACAAAAAAAAATGTAAGAAAATCTTTTAACAACAATAAACTTTTGTTTTGGTGTCACTGATCAAGAAATAAAAACTTTTTTTCTGCAGGGGCTGTACAAATCGAAAAAGATTCCTGTAAGCTTGCTTTAATGTTGGACTTTCCTACTTGACTCACTRGCGCCACTAGTGGTTGGAAGTGGAACTGCGGCCACCATCATTGTTCTTGGGCAAGGACGGATGAGTGAAAGGACCAGGGCCTTTCAAGGGGCCAATCAGATTTTAGCCCTTAGAACCGCCCCTGCATTGTCTCATTACATGACAGAATTACAATGACATATTTGGTTCAAAGATAAATAAAATACACATTTTTTCTACTATAGATGACATTTTGAAAAAATTAGAAAGTAAAGTGGAGGGGACATACAGTATTAGCTGACCAAAAAATACCAGATTTAATGACCTTTATTTGATTGTGACCATGGTTCTTTTTATCTGGTTTATCTAATCTGGCTCTAAACATCTAATCTAAGCAGCCCACATCTTCAATCAGTATAGTGACTGAAAGAGCTCTTCTATTGTGCATGTTAATGGCTGTTTCCACCAGCTGACAGATCAATCTCCTAATGTCTTCAGGACTGCAGATGGGATTGAAAAAAGGGTCCGTAATTCAGCTATATAAAAGGAAAGTGCAGGGCGATAGAGAGGGGAAAAAAATTGTTGAATAACTCAGAAAACGGTAACTGCCTTAMAATCCTTCAATAAAATATCACACTACTGTTTTTAAGGTCAAACAGCTGGAAGGAGACAGCTTATCAGTGTTGTAAGTAAACTGCACAAATCATTATGCAAGTCTGGATCACAAAAGAAGGTCGACGCCTTTGGATTGTCTGTTCAAGTAGGTTTGGAAATGATAAAACAATATGTGAAGTAATTAAAGTCTAATTAGGCCATATGTGTATACAGTGTTGCCCACGCATCTGCAGAGTCTTTCTCCCTCTTTAATCAAGATTTGCTGAGCCCACTACCATGAAAATAGCCAAAAGGTATATGATTACTGGCTTTTCATGGGATTCTGATTTGTTTGTCATTAGTTTAGATTGGGAGTTACCTTTTTAGTTTTCCCATCTCATTTTTGCATTTGGGTTTTAAAAGTAGTTCATGAAAAGACAACTGACCTTCTCATAACTCTAAACGATACATAAGCCTTTTTTATAACGGCATCATCTGTCATTGTAGCCTGGTAAAAAACAGACCCTTGTCCTTCACTTTGCTTCGTACAAGGGTCTGGACTCGCTGCTTTAGAGAAACGATTCTTGCTGGAGGCGTGGCCTCTGCTGAAGTGTGTGTGTCGCTGTGAAGGAGGCTAAGCTAAGAAGTTAACCGGAAATTGCGAGCGCTGTAAACAACCCTACTGAAAGGAGAAAAGTACCGAGCCGAACGAGACAGTTGTAAATGAGAGCTGCTGCTTTGTCAGACAAATTTCATTTAATTTGGAAGCCTTATCAACACAGACTGGCTTCATTCACTTCCTCCACTGCCGTACGCTAAACTAACTAGCAGACACTGCGCAGAACATCGACGTCATTCAAAACTCTGCCTTCTGTTTGCTGATTGGCCCAGGTAAAATAAACTACAAGCAGACACTGCGCAGAAAATTGACGTTCTGTTCTCTGATTGGTTCGGCTAAAATCTACCAGCAAAATCCTTGTCTATGGGAGAAATCCCAGAAGTAACAGTGAAGGGAAACTAGAATTGAGCGGAACTGCGCAGGAAGGCAAGGGCCAGGCTACTGTCATAAAAGGGCTGCATAACTACGTAATATTTCACATTCATTCAGAGGAAGCCATAATTACACAGAATGTTTCAGAGTCCACACCAAACAAGTTGTCTTCAAATTCTGGAAGCTGGAGGGTTGGTTTAATCATGGTGGAGCTTTGAGACTAAACAAAGAACTTACTCCCAATTGAACGTTCACAAACGTCAATAACTTCCAGCACACTTCTTATGTTTTGGCTTCTCTTTTGCCAATACAAAGTCTCCCAAACACAATGAACTTCCTAGTTAAGACCAAAAGGATAAACATTTCCAATTGCAGCCTGTGTATTTCTGCTGACGACTATTGTTTTTTTCCCCTGCTCTTTGTTTCGACTCTGGAGGATGCTGCTACCTAATCCATAACTCGATGAGTCAGCCCTACTGGATTACAAGCATTACTGTTTTACCCCTGCCTCTGTGACAATACCGCCCACAGCACAAAGAAATGAGTGATCATAGAAGGATTATAGGGACTTTATCAAGGAGAAAAGCAACATGTTCTTATAAAGATATTAAGCACGTTACGCTGTTGGTCAGATGTCATTATCTGTCAAAGATAGTAATCGAAATGAGCTGCTTGCTTTCCAATACCCAGAGCAATAAAAGGTGGTTTTAAGTTTTTTTTTTCTTGTAATCTGAAACTAAAGCCTTAAAGTCCTTTAAATAACCCATGAGCTCCAGTGCTCCACGGAAGCTATTGACACTGAAAGAGGAAAATAGATCTTCTATAGATAAGCAGCTTTTTTTTATTGAAGCAGTGAGTTTCTGAAAACCTGCTTTAATACGCTCACTGTAATTTTCCTCAAATCAATTTTGTATCAATATGGTTACAGCATTTGATATTCAAGTTAGAGCTGAACGTGTGTTTTAAATTTTGTTTGACACAAAAATACACACGTCTAAAAAGAATTAAAAATGCTAATCCAAGTCAAAATGTGTCCCTTTTTTCCCCAGCGCAGGCAGGAATAAAGAGTGCAGCATTTGTGGGCTGTCTCGTCTACGTTTGAGTAGCTGATGAGAAATTAAGCCTGTCATGTTGCATAAACTGCTTGTCTAAACAGTTTTCTTTAAAAGTCAGGGGCATAATGAGTTCCACGGAGGCTTCAGCCACTGCTGTGTTCTGCTGTGTACTAACTTTGTGGCACAGCCCAGGGTCACATGTGTGTTCACTATAGGCTACTGATTTGCTCTTCTGTATGTGCATTCTCAGAGAAACAGTGGAGGTTAATGAAGTGTGTGTAATTATATGTAATATTTAATGATGTTGACCCTCTCTTATGATGCTGTATAGTACGTACAGCCCTTCATAATTGCCGGGGAGGCATAATTAAGCAATATGTGTTTTTCTGCATCATGGAGTAACCGGAATACCTTGATGACTGGCAAAAACATGGCAGGYAGTCATTACCTCTCAATCTGTGTGCAACGTTTACCGAGGCTTCACTTCGCTTTATAAATGTGTTTGATGTTTCCTACAGTTTTTGCTCTGAAACATGGAATCAATTTATCAGAAGGTTAATTCCAATCAAAGTGATGTGCGGTAGCTTTAGGGCTCACATGTGAAATATTTCTAATTGTCCACCTAAAACAGGTATTTAAAATATAGCTGGTACAAACTAAAACCAGACAGCTAAACTGGGTCGGCCCTAGCCAAAGATTTCAGGTGTCGCCTCTTGTGCAATTTTTTAAATCTCACTTCCAATTTACATACATTCACAAACCAAATTAAGTAGTTTGGTCTTTGATATGTTTTATCTTTAGAAACAAGTTTGTCCAATTTAAAATGTTAACTCATATAATTATTTGATATTATGATTCATTTGAAATAGAATATCAGAAGTCTGCCTCATACCTGCCAACATTTTCTGACAGCAATGAGGGACATATGTTCATGTTACCAGGCAGCTGTGGACTGAAGCAGTTCTAAGGGGTCCAGGGGTATTTCTCACTGGAAAATTTTGTTAAAAGTTTACTCAAAACTTTGCATTTTCCTAAATTCTTGGAATTATTAAAAATCTTGAAATCAGTATTTTCTGAAAGTCGAACAGTAGAACCAGATTTTACCCTAAACTCTATGTGAGATCATAACTGAAACTTCTGTTGTTCTTATTTTTTTTTCTATTTACACACTGACCACATGTAGTTATACATGGTACAACTAAAATATTTGCAGCATATAACACCTCATGTAGTAACAAAGCAGGCTGAGGAACCCACAGAACAATTTACCTTCATAAAACAGGGACTATTCTACAGACTAAATAAAATATACTCTGATTAAAAGTTATCTTTTTTTTCATCCCCCATTTGTGTCGCCTCCAGATCAATGACACCCTTAGCATTTGCCTGTACTGCCTTTGCCATGGGCCGGCCCTGCAGATAGTTTTAAGGGAGAGGCTGGATAACTGCTGCTCTAATAGCATTGTAAGTTCAGCGCTATTAAAGTTTCTTSTTAAAATCTTTATAGCACTTTTTTTAAATAAAAAATAGCCGCTACCTTGCACACCTTTTATACAAAGATGAGATGGCAGGATGTTCAGGAGATTCAGCCAGATATGCAACACTGACTGAAACTTTCTTTTTATTTGACTCGTTTGACAAACCAAAACCTTCTCTAAATGTTGTTCTGGAAATCTTTCTCACTCAATCAGCTTGAAGGCAGAAGATCAGTTAAGTTATGAAACTGTAACCGTGTGTGTGTGTGTGTGTGTGTGTGTGTGTGTGTGTGTGTGTGTGAACATCGGTCTGGTGGACTTTAAATTCATCCTGAACTATGTTGCAAATTGTTGCGTAAAGACACGAACATTGCCACCAGATCTTTTTCTCCTGCCTTGTAATCTGATAGTTTTCTAAATTTGTTTTCCAGTTTGCACATAATGTTTGAG